GAGGAGAAGAGGAACGGGGAGAAAGGAAAAGGAGAAAAAAATAAAAAGAAATATTGGCAAAAAAAAAATTTTAAAAAATATAAATTATTAATATTTAATAAAAAACAATTAATATATATTAAAAAAAAACGTTTTTAAAAATTATAACCTATTGTTACCTTTAAGGTAAAATAATGTATAAAGAAAGATTTACCTATTAAAGTTATTTAAAATAGGTTAAATTAATATAGGTTTATTCTGCTAAGGCTTATTGCCTTGGCAGGTGTACCTGCTACCTATAGGGCCGTATAATAATATGTTAATAGTTAAGATAATTACTTGTTTATTGAACTTTTACTTTTATCTAACCTAATATGGTACCGATACCCAAATCTCTTCATTATTGATATGATCCAATACCGGTGCGCCATTCCATGATTTTAGATTTAATACATAAGAGACATTGTGAGGTAGCATTAATAGACGAGTAGGCTCTTTACCGTCCTGCTATAACATTTAGAACTCCACCGTCTACTGCGATGATCTCTCCGTTCACATATTGGTTCTTCGCGAGGTAGAGTATCGTCATGCCCATTTCTTCCTCACGTCCGGCTCTCATCAGCGGGACGTGGCCTTTATCTTGGATCTTCTCTGGTGATACATAGCTCTTCTGTTTATCATCACTACTCTTAGCGGTCACTATAGCAAACTTGTTAGCTTGATCGTCATCGATCCCAACCTAGTAGGAGAAAGGGTAAGAGATATACGCTCGGTAATAACTCACTCTCGGTAGGGAAATATCCCGGCGCAATGGAGTTGACTCTGATTTCAGCCTTTTGGAACTCTGCGCTCATAAGTTTCGTCAGATGTACGGTAGCTCCCTTGGCTGTGTTATAGCTGAAGTGACCCTGAGCATGCCGCATGATACCCGACATAGAAGATATGGTAATGACAGATGGGGCGTAAGGCTCAAGGGGGCCTTTCGGACGGATGCCTTGCTGTAGCAGCGGAAGGAAGGCTACCGTCGTAAAGTACACCGCCGTAACATTAGTATTATAGTTATCGCGCCAATCGCTAGGATCCTCATTATTCCAAAGCCTAGCCTTGAGATCTTCGGCATCGGCGTCCTTCGGCTCAGCCTTCGGGCCCGAGATGCCGGCGTTGCACACCAGGAGGTTGATGTACTTCTCGCGCTTGCTCAGATCTGCAACGAGCTTCTCTAGGTCGTCCTTGCTAGTTACATCGCATGGCCCGATCGGGATGATTTGCCCGCTGCTCTTGGCCGGCTGGTGGCTCTTCGCCGCGTTCTCGAGAACTTCCTTCCGCCGGCCGGTGATGTAGACTTTGGCGCCGTTGGCGGCAAGTGCCTGCGCGGCCATTAATCCTATGCCGGACCCGCCGCCCGTGATTACTGCGACGTAGTCTTGGACTCCGAAGAGCTTGTTTACGTCGAATTGGTGGGTGTCGGCCATGGTGAGAGGTGGGCCGCGATGATGATGTATAAGTGTTAATGCGTAGATCTAGAAAGGTCTGGTGGATGGATGAGGTGGTAATCTTTTAAAATATAGGCTTGAGGGGTAATATAGTTCGTTTTGAGAAGGATTGGTTTGGGGATTATTAAGTCTGCCCGTCACTGTGAAGTCAAGACAATACTGCTTTGAAAGTTCATAGTAAGAGGTGTGCCTCTTATATCGCGATGAGTGGTGACGTAACTGTACCTGGAACCCACGTGTAGCAGGGATCTGATCGAAGCACAAGGGTGCATCTAAGCTCTAATGACGCCTATTATAATTCTTTTATTGAAAAAATTATTTAAAATAAGTAATTACAATTGTATCATCATATCTATTATACTGCGTACTTTCTTCAATTCGATGCGTTGTTGTCAAATGATACCGGGAAGTTATGCTAGTGTCATTTTTAAACATCATTGACTTTTTGAATCTTATAAGATCCATCTCTTAAAGTGTAGGGGAACTACGCATTTACATTTAACAAAACACTTTACCACAGCTTGTTAAAGAATAAATGCGATGTCAAATAACGAAATAAGTATTTTATTACTTCGGTATATTTCTAGTATAGCGTAATCTTGTTAATTCTAATTGAAAAAGCAACCCCTCTTTCTATAGAAGTGGCAACACACAACATAGTAGCTAGGGAAAAGATACCGATTTGTGATTAAAAGTATGATGCTTGATAAGAGGGGTTACATAAAAGATAGTTAGTTGCACGAATACAATAATAGAATATGCTCCAAAGCCTCAACTAGATAAAATATATATAAAACAGCATGACGCACCGAGATACACAGATAACCCAGCTTCTCCTTAACCTACTGCATCACTATCAACGCCACCTTACAACAATCGCGATATACTTGTGAACATTTCTAACATTTTGTGTCTACATATATATAGTTGTCAAATAGCAATCTACCTACCCATTTACTAACTGTTCGATTGAACATACGTACGCCCTCTTGACCTCCAAGGTGTACACGGACGTGTCGTTTCAGGACCGAGATGATTTTAAACGTAGGTATTTATCAGCGCTAATCGCATTCTTATTCCCTGCTTCAATCACCATTGCGACGACAGACTGCTCATAAGTGTGAGTTTGTGGACATGGTTTCCGCCTTCGGCACCTAGCATGCCAGACATGCTTGTCGCACCGGGGGGGGAGAGAAATGTGGGGGGAATCTGCTGCAAGTGACAGACAGCCTGAAGTTTCGAGTGCCGAGCCCGACACCGTAAGCTCGGATGAATTACCGCGAGAGCCGTGGTAAAGCGCGCTGCCCTTCTTACAGACACAATTGCGCGGGTCGAACCGAAGGGTGTAAGTGGCGTGTATGTCGGGCGTAGGCTAAGCCTCGTCGATGTCCTTGCAGATGTTGAAGGGTTATCGGAGATAAAGGTGCTACCCGGATGTGTGGCCTAACCAAGTGCATAGATGTCCTGTGTAGGTAGTGTATAATATGCAGTGTTAAAGGGAACTGAAGTGCAGGGTAGCTTGTGTTAGTTAAGGAAAGTAGAAGTATTTATTTAAATATACTTCCTTTTAATTGCGAGATATTTGAAAAACCTATTGATATGTTGAGCTCTTAAACACCATTCTTAGGCTCTATTCCTTAGATATTTCATCTCACCCTATTACCCTTTACTATATTTTTCTAAAGGAACATTTATTTAAATCGTGCCTATAAGTCATGTATTTCCAACCGAAAGAAAATAGCCGCGAGTTCCTAGCCATAAATATCATTCCGGGACCTTTTATGCTGCTGGCAGCCGTGTGCATAATTCTGCGTTTCGTTCATCATCGCCGGAAGAGAATTCTTTGGTGGGACGATTGGGCCATCTTGGCTGCGTTCGTCACGGGTGTTGGGGCGTATATTTCCGGTCTTCTCTGTGCCTTGGCAAGCTGTCGCGTCGACGAGTATACGATTTCGCAGCTGAATACATGTGCAAAGGTGAGTTTGGCCCCCCTATATTAATTGTCTTACTCCCTTATTAATAAACGAAAACTGATAGTAATAGGCGGGCCTCGCGGGCGAGGTTCTCTACACGGTCAGCGTTGCGTTCTCCAAGATCTCGGTTTTGCTATTTTATAAACGCATATTTGAGGTCGATACGCAATTCTTTCTGTTTACGCGCATCATGTCAATCCTCGTCGCAGAAGCTTGCTTCACGTACACGATCGGCCTTATCTTCATTAATATCCCAGTAAAGGCACAGTGGAATACCAATATGCCTCATAAGTCAATAAACGCTGTGGCCTTCTATGTGGCTATGGGCACTATCAACATACTCATAGATGTAGTTATCATAGGCTTGGTCCAGAGGAGAGTATGGATGCTGCGGATGCCTCTTCGACGTAAACTTTGGATATCCTTTCTATTTCTCCTAGCTATATCGTATGTATTGGGCAGATTCTATTTATTGTTGTATATTTCTTGAATTAATCTTGCTAACCTATTTAGATCTGTTGCCTTTGGTATTTTACGTGTTGTCTATACCGGTACTATGAACCCCGACAATGCTACGTGTAAGTTGATAGAAAGACTGAGACAGCCGATGGCCTGACATTCGTGTAAGCAGACTAATAGTTCCCTTCTAGATACTTTGACACTTGCCTGGCTATGGGCGACTCTGGAGCTTTTCTTGTATATCATCTGCGCTTGTCTGCCCATCGTCTATAGCTTCTACCGCTCAATATTCTGCAGCCGTTCTAATAATGATTCCGGAAATAACCCTCCCAGAGAAAAGAGAAGCGAATATCACAAATTAGACAAGGAAACGTGTGATTTCAATAAGTTCGTTGCGCGCGTGGCTCAAAACGATGCCATAAGGAAAACACAGAGCACGGAACCTCTAGTCCGTCCAAAACAAGCTTTATGCCGTGAGACCTGTGGCGGTCTCGACGTCCCAGAAAAGGACTATGCAGCAGAGCAGAGGTATATTGGTATAAGTGCTGTATAGTTCATGCAACCTATCCGTTTAAGCCGGCTCTTTAGCTTTCAAGGGACCTCGCTTAATGTGGACGCCTTGGTCTTGGACGGCCTAACAGACCATATCTTGATCAGAAAGCTATTTTTCTTAAAAGGGCTTATTATGATAGGCGTTGGAATAGGGGTGTTGACTATTCGTCTCGTGGAGGCAATGAAATATAAGGGCGTGGGCTAGTAGGAGTAGCATAACTATACTGATGCCCTACCAGTTTTCTTCGGCTAGTTATGCCAAAGGAAAGTTTATAGCGGCCTTGGAAAAGAAATTCCCGGGCCTTTGATGTCTCTGAGCTATTATATTATATCTTAGAGTTTGAAAGTAATTTTGTATGCATTGCTATACATAAAATGATACAACTATCGCACCTAAATAGGTATACTACCTAAGCCCTCAATGGGGACCGCATTGCGCTAATACTGACCTTCAAACATGGTGCTTGTGGATATATATACAAAGGTATTTAATATTTCAGGATTCCCCCTAATAGGTCCGTTCCCCTTACAACTTCGCCACCATCTTGGCGCCCTGGCTTAGCATCGCTGTGGCATCATCAATGAATTCATCCACAACGGCCTTTGCGCTCTTCTGCTCGTTCACCAGCGCGGCACACTTGCCCATCAAGTAAGGCCGGAACTGGTCCATCAAGTCATCTACATCTTCTTCGCTTTCGCTCTCCTTGCCTGAACCCTCAGCCGTGCCGTTCGCCACCTTCTCCAAGTCATGCTCATAGGGGAGGATACCCTTAGCAGTCAACTCCTTGATCTCGGCTTGGCGCTCGGTCTCCCAGTTCTCGATGTATGGGTTCTTTCGCACCCGTAAAGGCCGTCCAGTGAAGATGAGGGTTCGGATTGTGTCGTCAAATCCGGCAGTTCGTACCGACTCCTTATGCGACTCGGGTGCTCCAGCTTCGTCAACTAAGATGAAACGGGTACCAACCCAGACGGCGCTCGCGCCCATCATCAGCGCGGCGGCTAACATCTGACCGTTATGGATACCACCGGCGGCGATGACTGGAACCTGTTGGCCGGATACCACGCTCTTTTTTCCCTTGCAAATCTGCACACACGCTGGAATCAGGACAGTGGTCGGAACATCTCCAGTGTGGCCACCACCCTCACCACCCTGCGCACAGATCATGTCGCAGCCGATGTCTAGCGCCTTTTGGACATGCTTGGGGTGGCCGACCATGTTCATGTAGTAGATACCATGCTTGTGTAGCTTATCGACGACGGCCTTGGGTGGTACACCAACAGCGGAGACGAAGAGTTTGGCTCCCGATTCGATAACGACGTCGATTAATTGGTCGAGCTTGCCTTTCGTGTAATCGTAGCTACATTTCAATCTCGGTTAGCTGCTGCCATCGAGTACAAGCGAATACTTTGGGATCATTGAAGCTTACTTTGTTTTGCGGGCCTTGCCGCCAACCTGTGGAAGTAGCAGATCGATGCCGAATGGCGCATTCTTGTCATGAAGATACGATTTTAACTCGTCAATTTGCTCCTTCAACATGTCCGGGCTATAGGACATGCCTCCAATGACACCAAGACCGCCGGCATTTGTGACAGCAGCAGCGAGCTTGGGACCGGCTGCGACGTTCATTCCGGCGAGAAAAATAGGATGGTTGATCTTGAATAGATCGGTAACAGGAGTTCGGATTCTCTCTGTAGGATCACATTTTGTTAGTACTTTACTCATGAATTGTTGTAGATTTGTTGGCTTATGACATACGTGGTGATGCCATCTTGACTGTTTTGGGTGTTAATATAAAACTGTAGAATACGATAAGATGGTGAAGAGGCTTCTTTAGCTTGTTCTAGTTATATCAAGAAATCTGGGGTAGATTAAGTAGTTAGAAGGAATAAGATAGATGCTAGAGATGCGAATGTTGAGAGGAAGAAAGTCTCGGTATCGGCAACAAGCGCGGCAATGGGAATAGTAATAAGAACAGATGGAAATGTGAAAATCGGGGTATATCCAGGATTTAGTACACAATCTCCCCAAAGATTAAAGCTGGGGAAGCCGAGGCAATGCATATTGAATGTTAAGCCTTCGGAGCCTAGTCCAATCCGGGACTTACCCGAACCGAGGCTTCTTTTTTAATTAGCGTGACTATTAATTAGGTACATACATATATCAATATAACCAAGCCCACATGGGCTTGGGAATGCATCTTTGAATCATGAAGTATGTTAAATATATTGACGATGGAGTCACTTCTATACACCCATCCCACTTCTAAAAATTTCAAACAAACAAATAAACAATCCTTACATCAGATGCAAGTTTACGTAGCACAACATAGGTACCTAGGTAGTTAAGTACATATGTTGGACTCACATATGTATGTACCTAAGTACTTTATGCATATCAACCCTACATGGAAGATAAGATAAGGGAATACAGTATGTACATACCGCTAGGAGGTACGTATGTACCTATTAAAAAAAAATTGGACGTAATATTCCTTCGGAAAGACTAATACCTTAAGGGTCCTTGTGGAACTTGGAATTTTCCGGTCAGCTCCCTTCGATTCTCGATTCAGGTGTAGTTCGAAAAGTTGCTTATGGCATATGGCATTTAGTTTGCGGGTCAACAATTCGTTCTAAGTTTTAATGAATATTCTCTCATCAGCATGGAACTACACATATCGGTATGCTCGAGTGTTGCCATCTCATACCAATCTAGTTTTTATTTATTCTCAAAATCGGATCATCCCTAAAAGAAAAATAATGGATCGCCAATTCTCAACCAGTCCATCTAGTAAATCATGCAGTTGCGCAGAACGGCGCCGCGGAAAGCGGAAAGCTTACATTGCTCTGGGCAGCAATGTTGGCGACCGCATATCCATGATCGAGCAAGCATGTAAGGAAATGGATTCAAGAGACATCAAAGTAAAAAGGACCAGTAGCCTCTGGGAGACCGAACCGATGTACGTTTTAGATCAGGATAGGTTTGTGAATGGAGCTTGCGAAGTACGTCTTGGTTCCTATTCTTCAAGAATATTAGACTAAATAATCTTCCTCAGGTAGAGACGAATCTAAAGCCTCTATCTTTGTTAGACCAATTGCAGGATATTGAGAAATCTATGGGGCGACGGAAACTCATAGATAAGGGACCTCGCAACATCGACTTGGACATCTTACTTTATGAAGATGAAATAGTCGACCATGAGAGACTTAAAATTCCTCATATTGGCATCCAAGAGCGCGAATTTGTTCTACGGCCTCTCGCCGAACTTATACCGCAGAAGTCTATAGACTCCTCCAAACCCTGGAAGTTCATACAAGACTATCTCAATGAGCTATCTCCATCTCCGGAGCCTCTGTCTACTTTGACCCCAATATGCCCCTCGGTAAAGCCGTTGAATGCTCTCAAGCCAACTCGGAAAACACAAATAATGGCCATTCTCAACATTACGCCCGATTCATTTTCAGACGGGGGAATTCATACCCCTGATTCGCTTAGAGACACAATTATGACCTACGTTCGGGGAGGTGCCACTATTTTTGACATTGGGGGCCAGTCTACGGCGCCGGGGAAGCTCGAGGTCAGTGCTCAAGAAGAGGAGGACCGTGTCATACCTGTTATCAAGCTCATTCGTAGTCTCCCCGAGACACGCGATGTCGCCATTAGCGTAGATACATATCGAGCATCAGTTGCCCAAGCAGCCGTCAAGGCTGGCGCAGATATAATCAACGACGTGTCAGCGGGTCTTTTGGACTCGGATATGTTCTCAACGATGGCCCACTCGGGCAAGACGGTTTGCTTGATGCACATGAGAGGAGACCCTAGTACAATGAGCAAACTGAACGACTACCCTCATGGGCTTATCCCAACGATTGCTAAAGAGTTACTTGAGCGGATAGCAGCAGCCGAAGCAGCGGGTATCCGTCGGTGGCGCATCATCCTTGACCCAGGACTGGGATTTGCCAAGGTAGGCGAGCAGAACCTACACCTCCTACGTCATTTCGAAGAGCTACGAAATTGGCCCGGATTAGAAGGCCTGCCATGGCTCGTAGGATCTAGCCGTAAGAGCTTCATTGGTAAGGTTACCGGCGTGCCAAAGCCGATGGATCGAGTATTCGGTACGGCAGCAACCGTCGCCACGGCTGTTCAGGGCGGTGCTGATATAGTACGTGTCCACGATGTCGTTGAGATGGGTCAGGTAGTTAAGATGGCAGATGCCATTTGGCGATACTAGGTTTGCAATTACGAGATGTTCTAAGCACGAAATGATCACAACTAATCTCCATGAATTCATTCGTTCAATAACCCTTTCCCTTTTTTTTCCACCTTTTTCGACCCCTTTTTCCATACTCAAGCATTCCATATGCGAGTCCCTGTTCATGCAAAATCAACGTATTACTTAACAATCGAGTGTCCTGTAGACGACGGACTAAAACATCTTCCGATTACTTAGGGTGTTCGATCCCCTGTCCGAAACACTCTAAACCCTCACGATAGCAACTGAACCTTTCACTTAGCCTTCTCCTTCCCTTTACCCTTTTCCTTGGCCCCCTCCTTGGCCTCCTCCTTAGCCTTAGCCTCGGCCGCCCACTTCTCCAGAAGAGCTATCGCTTTGCGCTCCTTTGTTGCTTCGGCCTCCATATCAAGATTGTTCTGGAAATTCGGAGTTATCTTACCACTTGAAACAAGCTCAGATCCCTGGCAAGATCCTGTCACCAGCATCTGGACTATCTCGAGGCTGTCTTCGTCGTTGACGCATGCGTCGATGACGTCGTCTGTCATGGCTAGGATAGTCTCGACAACCTTGGCAATTGTACGTTCGCTTGTGGCGAACCTGCGCACCTTGGCGAGGATGACCGATTTGGCCTCATGGTAGTTCTTCGTGACATCCTCTAGTGCCACCGCGTAGAGGGAGTGATCGGGCTCCTCGTCACCAGACGGGACTTGGGGCAGTGTATCACGTACGACGGTTTGAGACGCTCCCGCTTCGGATACTATGAATGGGTACTCAGTCTCGGCGTCCAGATCGCCACGGCTGTGGGCTTCATAGTGTAGCTCAGTGGGCTGATCAGATCTTGTTGGTGTCGATGGCCCAATGATGCCAACGGGACGACGACGACGTGGTAAACCCGTACGATGAGGGCTACCAACGAAATCCGAGGGGCTCATATCCATCTCAGCCTCTCGAGTGCTTGGTTCAATAGTATCAGGAGTGCTAATGACAGCACTAGCAGGGTTGTTGGAACGGCTGATAGGAGACGGGGTGGCCGGAACATCGGGGTCATTGGCATCACCAGTGACAAGGTCAGAAATGGACTTTACTGAAACCTCTCCCTTGTTGATTTTCAACATCATATCGTCGAGTTGCAAAATCTTTGAACAGTCGTTAATAAGTACTCTTTCATCAACAGTTTGGTGTTATCGTATTCTCTGGGGCTAGGTGGTAAGGGATTATTTTTGAGAGAAAAGGCACTTACTTTCTGACGAAGTACGCGGACGAGTTCCTTCGGATTCTCGCAATCTTCACTGACCTCTTGAGTCGCGCCAGTGTCGCCGACGTCATCAATATTTTCCGTCGGTTCTATATTGCTGCTGCCACCCTCGATGGGCGGATCGTTCTTCACGTCGTTCGAGGACGTGCTCTCTACGGACCCTCGAAGAATTCGTGGTCGTGTCACATTGCGCTCCCGTCTAGAATCAATTAGGAACGCCTTTTCAGGCCACATGATTTTCCAGGCCTTCTCGACGTCCATGTTTTGTCGATCGGTGTAAGCGGCTACAGGATCATCATCGGGATACTTCGGAAGCGGTTTGTTCAGATTGCTCATAGTAGCCGACGGGCGTAGGCGAGGAGGGGAAATGTTTCCACAGCTGGTCTCTCTGATATCCCTGATATTGTACGCTGATGTACTAGCCACAAGTCGGTGTGCTCCTGGGCGACTATAGTTAACTGATCTAGCGGTCTCAACCTGGATGTCGCTGATGGTAACATCTTTAAGCGAGTCTGCAAGTGAGTGTGAATCTTCATCGATGGGATGATTGCTACCACTAGGCGCTTGGTCAGAGGTTGTCTCGTTGACACCGGGAGCTTGGTCAGAAGCTGTCTCAATAAGAACAGGGGCCGGGGCTGCGACGACTTCATCCGTAGTCAAGGCAATGCCAATAGGGAATATACTCAAGTTAGGAGAATGTGGATGGGGTTGTTGACTTTCTCCCTCGTTGCTGTACGGGAGTGGCATCATTTCGAAGTCCGGTAGCGCGAGCTTACGGCGGCCGCCGCAGGTGGAGAGACAGTTACCCATGGTGTATTTATGCGAAGGTTCCTCGGGCAATAATTAAATGAGCGGACATGGGAATCAAGTCAAGGCATCGACAAAAGCAGAAGATGCCAACACGAAATCAAAGTGACGAGGAAGGGAATTTAAAAAGAGTGTGGACTCATCGCCTAGAGAGCTTGGTTGTAATGACCAAGAGGAAAGAGGCGAGGGGCAGGTGAAGGCAACGAAGTGAATGGGTTTGTGTAGTTCCAAAATGTGGAAACAAAAAAAAAGAAGCAGTAGGCATGAGTTGCGAATTTTTACAATGCTTGGTTTGGCCTGAAAAATCTGCCCAATGAATAAATTCTCGGGATGCGGCTTGCGAGGAAGCTGCCTGCGGCTGTGAAGTTGTCACTAAGTCCGGACCCTGGAGCCGGCTTGTGAGGTACCCGGAGCGGAGCGCCGAGCCGCACTAGGACCACCTCCGGATGTGGCCCCGGCTTCTGTGGTCCGGACCAGTACGGCTTGGCCAATGGGCTTCCGGGAGTGTCGGCGATGTGGACTTATGAGAGCTTATTTTTGTTTGCCTCCTCACAAGACTTGATTCACTGATCACTGGTCTTATCTAGTCGAGGTTCAGGGCTTTGTTATTCAGTACAGGCTACAAAGGATCCTCGAAACCATCTGTTATTTGCTGACCATGTTTGCTGTACAGAGAGACGGTATATCAACTATACGAGTCGAAGCATATGAGGATTCAGGGGCTATGTAAAGAGGCTGCATAAAAGGGGTTAGTTACGGCTTCGATAACTGGGTTTAAACAAAATCAAGATCGATTTTGTTATTACGAAATAGCAATAGATATAAGTGACGATTTCTACTACATGCAAATATATAGATGATATTATTAGTTATTTCGTCACGTTCTGATTGAGCGGTAGACTGAGAGACCTTGATTTTAAAAGCGGTAGATATTGAGATTTACTAGATATTATTTGCAAGGACACGAAAATACTCCATAAACTTATATATTTAAAAAAAAAAAAAAATAAATAAATAAAGCAGAACGTACTTGAGTGTTCTGTTTATAGAAGAGGGGATAAATAATTAACATTGTATTTGTAGGGCGATACACTGGTTTTGCTCATGCGATGGGTACGAGCTGGATTATCTACTGTAGGGAATGAGTTATTGCACCGAACCAAGTACCTAAGATAGACTTCTCTTTCATGCCTCATTTGATATTGATAATCTCATCGCAATACATTTGAGCAGAAACTGTATTTTGTTGATTCAGTTGACAGAGTTGCCTGCCTCTCCCATAGAACTACGACTTAGCATGACCTATTTACGGCTATAATAAATATGAAAACGCTCCAAAACTCATGGTCAAAGGTGACGACTATTCCTAATATCCCCATCTAAGTGCGCTTTATCATATATGAGGACCCCTAGAACAGTGTCGATACAGAATAATGAGAAGGGGAACACGAAACGAGGACACGGCTATAATAAAGCATGAAAAATTATAAAATTAAGTGCCTAAATTAAAGTAAGGCCGTCGATATAGGTACAATACTTCTGTCCTGGTTGCCTCAGTAACCTAAGATTCTAGTCAGCCGTTCTTAACATTTCTGTTCAGGTACGTCTTATTATCGTGCACGAGAACATTCAAGATGGTAACAAATTAGAACTACAGAAGACAAATAAAATAATTTGGCGTTAGAAACAACTAAGTATTTAGAGAGCTGTGACGACGTATCTAACATGTATTATATACGATGGCTGCCTTGTATGGGTTGAATGTTTGAAAGTTCAATCTATATGGGTAGCTCACATATCCTTTCGAAGCTTGTGATATCAACTCGGGTAGAGCTTCTTAATATTTAATCGCAGTGCCACATCAAGCAACTGTTAAACTACCTTACGTAATTTCAACATCATATAAACACCACCAATTCCCATCATAAAACTTACGCAAGGCCTAGAAAGCCTCAAAGGTAAATACCAGGTCCTGTAGTGTTGAGACTCATAGGTACAACAACTCCCACTACGAAGTTGGATGATAGGTGAGTGGTGGTGATACAATACTTAACTTCTCGGCTCAGCGACTCGGGAGCTCCCTCGCGGCAACTAATGCTGTGCCACTTCTACTTCTACATCCTCAACTTTCCCCCATTCCTCATCTCTATTAGCGTGTCTACATTTCTAGCTTCTCAACTCCTATCTATCCCAACCCAAGGCCGACTCCATCAAACTACATAATACTCTCTCCGCCTTCGACAACTCAGTAGTCTCCAAGTCGAGTCTCACCTACCTTGCCTTGGTCCTAGATCCTCTGGGGAGAAAAAACACTAGCGCTGTGCGACGATGGGGGCTGGTGTCTCGGGAGTGGCGTGGCTTGGCCCCTATGCCACAGCAGTAGCAGCCTACGCGTACGGGGTATAGCGACATGTAAATATAGATCCAGGTACCTATGTATGTAGGTACATATGTGTCCATTCCAATGCCGTCTTCGCCTGCATGGCGATATTGGGGGCGGTTCCGGCCGATGTTGAAGATTTTGCTGCTTTGGCTTCTTAGGCTTCTTAGGTAGGGTAGGTACCTTTACTACCTAATTACTCCTATTCAGTTCTACCTACACCATCCCCCTTTATCTCTCACCCAAACAAACCCTACATAACATACAGAATTTAGTCACATGTGAAATTCGCTTGGTCTATTAGAGTGCTCTATCTATTAGATTCCCACTTCGTGATTCTATTTTTAGCCGTCTTGTCCAACACACCTCTCCACATTGTTACTCCCTTACGTACGGGGTCTACTTTAATGCACGTGTAAAGTATGTATATGGTTAATAAATCATAGCCTAACAGCCCTTACATCCAGCCCTACTTACGCAAAATCCGGGTTCACCGTATTCTGACGATCCCGCCTCAATATGTCTTCGCCTTCGCCTTCGCCTTCGCCACACAGTAGCTATAACGTCCAGGATGTCAATTACAGTATAGAGAGAAAAGGGGTACACCAGATCAATAACCTAGATTGTTCCACCTAGGGGTAGATATTAGGGGTAGATATTCGGGGTCCAGAATACGTTTCAACATGAACCAGCATGCTAAGGTAGTATGAACCAAATTTACCATCTTTACTCCTGATGAGTTATGTAAAACAGGTAGATACCCAAGTCGTATTGGCTTCTCCTTTCTCCCTTCTCCACACACAGAACCAAGATAAGTCATGAGAAGCTCTTGGAACCAGCGTAGAACAAATATCGGTACTACTATCATATCATAAACGGCTTAGTATATTACCCGCGAGCCAGGATTCGAGACCTTGCCCCGTAGTGTATTAAACTTGCAAACCGCACACTGTCTAGTAAGGTGAAATGAGGTAAGAGGTAGGTAGGTAGGTAGGTAGGTAGGTAATCAAACTATACCTAGGTAAATAAGGTAAAATAATAATGAAAAAAAAAAAAAAAAACCTCCCCAAAATGATTTTAAGTATCCGGAGTTAGATTAGGGAAAGCCAACAATACAACCTCTAGGTAGATAAAACAAAACTGCGTCACGAATCAAGATTCATGGAAGGCTCCAGGAACTCCGGGTGGCACACATTTTCGTCATGCGTAAGCCCGTATTACAGCAGCAAATCGTCAGTGATCTACTGCTAGGTAATCCTGCAAGCCACAAAAGTTCCTCTTAGGAAACCCTGCTTTTGTGACACCCCGCGCTTACTCGACTTGACCTTAGCTCTTTATCCCCCAAGTTAGCAAAAAACCAACAGCAATAGGGAAGAGTCTAGAGTTACACGGGCGTTTATGTTGGTTACACCGTCAGTTGAGAGAGTCCCTGTACTACGTAATCTTTGGAATATTGTAACCGTGGAAAAGCGTTATGATTGGAGGAATACTACCCGGCCAATATTTGAATCATTGGCGGCGCCGCGGCGGTGTAGATAACAAACACCACATGCCCTCTTAGTTTTTTAGATAAGTGGTATGGTAAGCTTTTGCTTGCTGACGGCAGTTACAGCGGATCCTTCAAGAAATTTGGATTAAATTGAGTGCATGTTTGGTAATTGTCCCGTACTGATCGGCATTTCGCTTGTTGATAGGTTTAAAAGGGGAGGTTCCCTAGCGGACATGATCTGTCGAATGTCACACTAGAAAAAGGTGGTTTCATTGGCTCTTGGTTCCCAAACAATTACCCCCCTGGCACGAACTGTACGTGCTATATACTATGTAGCACATATGTCGTCGAGAGACAGACTAAATGTGCCACAAATATGCCGCACCCGTGTCGCAAGAAGCGCGTCGCAGTGGTTTGTAGTACTCGCAATACGTTGCACAGAAGGACTTAACGAGATAACATACATAGTCCCCCCCAATCCCCAATCCTGTATGTATGTGTACGGCACGGTTTTTTGTACGACAGTATTTTGCATTTGGTACTGCCCCTCCCCACGGTCCCGCGGTCCCATGGTCCCACGGTTGTAAGAATGAGCTGTCATATTTTTCGATTTAGACGCAAACACAGTGCAAACTTTGTATCACACTAAAACACATGTGCCTAAGGGAGTTAAACCGACCTGTCATCTTCATACCTTTTTTGTACATATATTGTTTGTCGAGTTGGACAAGGTATCGTCAAAGTATCGTCAAGCAACGCCAAGCAGCATCAAGCATCGTCGTCTGACTCAGCCACATCCAAGCGGGATCAAGCCGCGATGTCGTGTTGCGGTATCCTCTCCATATAAAGTAGCACAAGGTACCGCGTAGGGCTGAGTAGACAACGGAAGTAGTGTAACAGATGGCTGTAGATGCACGTCAGACACATCTTCGGGGTGTATGTACGTACATACTGCAGACCGTAATAGGGGGGAGCACTCGGGAAGATCGTGATTGCTCGCCATGGACCTATCTTCAATTAGTTGCCGACGTATTGTAGGCCAGTGGAGTGACATCACAACCAGACCGGAGTCCCGTAGAGGATTACTTACGGTCCCGCATCTGCGCATGTACCTACTATGGTAACATTGTGTGGCTTGCGAAGAGAGAAGCTTTTTGCGAATGGCAAGATGATCCGAGCACGCCGTCGATACATGCACGGTCCAATCAGATGCATCCATGCAAGCAACCACATGTCCGCGTGGAGAGTTTAGCCCCCAAGATACAAGCTGACTGACTCACCCATGTTCATCCCATGTCCATCTATGATTGCCTAGACCAAAACCATCTTGGCGGATTAGGCAGGGAATGCTTGGAAGGGATGTCGCGATAACTCGTCTGCCAGGCCAGAGCGGTGAGAACTTAATTAAGTAGACATGATCGTTGTTTTGAGGGTGGTGGCGAGTTAAGTCCTATTAGGTAGCAGCGTCGATTCGAGTAGAAGCTGGTCCTGTAATAGGCTTACCACTAGAAGAGATGCTGCACCGAGCAAAAGGATTGGATGGTACAGGAGGAAGGATTTGATCTCGGCACTTACCGGAACTCGGCAAAGAAGATAATGATAGAGATCCCGCCTTTGAAATCATTAGCAATAAGTGGTTAGTAGATAGGAAATTAGGAAAATGGGAAATGGGAAATGAAGGGGCACGCAGGGAGGGGGTTAGGAGAAGCTATTAACCTAGTTACCTAGATTGAGGGAATTTAGATATGCTAAGCGGGCGTCAGATATAATACCTAAAGTACCTAAGGTAGTAAGCCTTCCGGTGAGAACACGGGGCATTTAAGGCATTCAAAGCATTCAATACCAAGCCCGGATATGCAGGACAACAGCCATTGTCCACGCGTTTGCGGGATGGTACATTTACCTCCCGTTTGAAATCAAAATTTCAAAATTCCCTCCTGCGGAACATCGGGGCTTGATGCGACACCGCTGGTCCGGTCCAACTATATAGGCTGGTAGACTGGATCGCTGGATCTCACGATTTGAACATGAAAAGGGTGTATAATGTGGTAAAAGAAATTACACTACAACGATTGGTAGTTGCCTAACCTTGGCTTGTTTTCACCTCACCTCTTCAGCAAGGGTGTCAAGGGGTGTATAAAAGGTGTAAGATATAGAATAAGGATACGCGGCCCCCAAGACAACCAATGTCGACCAACAGATGGTCGACAACGTGCGCCAAGGGTGCTATCGCTATTCTATCAAAGCTGCGGCGGGTCTATCACTCATGCATTGGTAGGTTCCGGATCCGCGATGGCGGGTCCAGCTAGAAAATTTTCTTTACTTGAAGTAATAGTGACTGCAACTATGAGTGCAGGGGGATCGGATGATCTTTCTCTCGACGGGTAACTGAACAGGAACAGACTTTGCGATTGGGAGTACAAAGTCAATCGAAGACACGAAAAAACTCACCGTCCGGTTTCCCCGACCACTCTCCACGACGATCTGTGAGAGCTCCACAAAAGCTTATTTAGACCGCGCACCAATTAGCGCAGGTACAAGTTTCTTATATTGTATTGTAGAGGTATTCTCTTAAGAAGTTGAAGGAGGGGGAAGGGGGGGGGGGGGAAGTAAAAGACGTAGGTAGGAGAGAACCTCGGGCCGCATCTTACTTGCATACCTATACAACATTGCTCGTACGCTAAGCAATTATGTTTGGTTATTGCTTATGTTATAATTGTTTTCTCGGCCGTAATCTCATTGCTGATACTGAAACTTGCTTTCAAATCTGACAAAAGCCATGACTTAAGAAACTAAAAAATCTATTGGGCCGTCAACGATAGCGGCTGGATCCCGGGGAGCTAACTGACCGGTCTCTTCACTATGACTCGTACGGCTCATCCCGACTGTTAAGCCAATAAGCCCAAATTCACCGGTGAATAAGGATAAAGCATCGGCTAGACGAGTGTGGTTGTAGTAAACATCACTGCGACAGTAAACAGAGCCTGGAAAGATATAACCTGCTTGAGCTTAGAGAATTTACGTACTGTATAGAGGAAAGGGAGGGTGTGTAAATAAGTGCCAAGCCATGTATATATGCGCGCATGATTGGATATCGGAGGGGGAAAGGGGAAAAGGAAAAAGGAAAAAGGAGCTCAACAACTTATCATGTCGCAATAGACGCGATGTCAACGATGGCGGGGAACTGCAACCGTGAAGGAAAGGCGTAAAGATAGAAAATAATGAGATAAAAGAAAATAAAAGTCTCTTCGGTCCCGAAATTAGTTGGACAAAGTAGAAGTAGCAAATAGGTAGTAGGCAGCAGCAGCCTATATTACGTATAGCAAGGAAACTACGAGGTCCTATGTCCAGCGCGAATACCGCTTCCTATTTAGGAGGTATGTACCTTGGCAAGATAAAGCTATCCCGTTTCTAATAAGTAGAGTTCCGTAATCCACCGTATCTAACCTTCTGTGACTACCTAACCTAACCTAATGGTTTAGGTACCTAATCTACTTAGTACCCGCCTAAAGGTATCGTTAGGATAAGCTACTGGAGCCCAAGGTTTTTATTAGTGTAGCTCAAACCCCAAGTTTAGCGCGTAGATTACGTCCTGGACTGGTACTTACTTGTAACGTCAAATGTGGGGTGATTTTCATCTACTAAGTTCCACTGTTTAGATAGCATTGATACCAAGGATCTCTTTGATCGCATACCGATATGTACTAGGACCCTAGTTGCTTAGCTCCAAAGAATTCCATAGGTTCCATAAGGAGGATCCCCCCCGTCCCCCCTGTCCAGTTGCCTTACACCCGCCCGCTGCATCGCCTGAACCCTGGCTGAAAAAAGCTGCCTTGGCCTTACGTCTTTTGCCAGGCCCTACTACACTATGCTCCTATCATGGTGTCGTGCCTTTAGTGCAACCTAGTTCCCGTTGTGGGGCATAATGAGGCTTTGCAAGTCCAATTTGAACGACCTCTCAACCTGATGAGCTGCTGGCTCTCACGAAAAAAAGCAAAATTCCTCATATCCCCCATACACTACTACGCACACTTCGTTCTGCCAAGCACCTCTTCGCCGTTGCGCTCTCATGTAGGGGTACTCATTGGTGCAGTGCATTGCCCCGCTCCCCCTTTCGCTATTAAGTTTGCATCTACCTACCTAAGCCGAACAAGTTCTTTTTTCTCGAGTCTAGTTCAACATTCTCTTTAATTGGCTGATGCGTATTAGTGTGGAGTTATGCGTGGATAAGGCGTCTCTGCTTTTGATCCATAGGCATGCACTGATCCGCTCTCCCGCAAGACAAAGGATCCATTCCCGTGGCCGAGAGGAGAAAAATTGGAAAGAATGCTATGTTTTATCTTTCGACCAAGAAGATACAGGGAAAGCAATTCTGAGCGCATAAGCACCATCAGCAGCGACAGAAGGGCCTTTCTATTTCCACCTTGCGCCACAAACTGGGACCCTGCTCTTCGGTCCACCCTAAACCTAGCCGTCTCGCGAGACTCGTAAACACACATTCCGCCCAAGCATTCCTCTGATCACATTGAGACAGGAGAAGGCGAGTTGCATCAAGTTAGTCTCACCAGGAGGACTCGACTAACGGGCCACAGCAGTTGCCGAGTTGGGGAAGTTAAACGCAGACACCCGTATAATCCGTCTTTCCCAACGCCGCCCATGAGTATTTTTTTTGCGTAGTCTTCGTCAAATTTTCAAGTAGATGAATGAAAGTCGCTTATCCTTCGTTTCTCGAACCGTCTCGAAAACACCATAAAGCATCGCACCGGGGTATCCTTTCCGTTATCCCACCAGGTAAAGTCCATATTTTGTAGTATATCCCGACCGCATTGCCGGGGTCGTAGTTCATTCTTCGTATATTCCCACATTCGCCTGAATCCCCCATAAAACCATAGCCTCTCTCAGATTCTTTCCTTCTACCGTATCCCATCGTGCGCCGCCAGTCCCGCCTCTAGTGATAGATGCGGGAAAACCAAAATCCAGAAAACAGATATGCTTTTCATCTCCGATGGTCATGCTAGACGCAGTAGAACTTAACGCAAGTGGCGGTAATTTGCCAAGGAAATATACTGTGTAGACCAGCCAGAATGCGGCCGAGTACACTTCTTTATGCCACACAATTTTCGTATCACCCAGATTGGGGAAGCATGGTCGGCATGGTTGGGTAATAACCTGTCGATGTTGACTTCCCTTCAAACCGACTGCAGCCCCGGTAGTAAGCATTTCCGGGGTTGTATAGAATACTCGGAAGGGGACCGTCGTATTCGTGTTTGACTTTCGACGAGCTCGAGTCTCCCGCCGGTGGGGCCGAAGTCATTAAGCTGTCCGGCTCGCCTCGGTGAGAGAACATCTCAACACCCTGTCTCGCATCGGTACCTTCGTAGATAGGCGCAGGATAGTATTGGTACTCCCTTGTGTTGTCGATAGCCTTGGCTTCCTCGGTTGGGATGATCGGCTCCGCTGGTAGCTCGTGATGGCGAGTCCCCCCATAATGCCCCGATCTTGGATCGTACGCTCCGCCGCTGGCGTACGAGCCTGGAAGAAGCGAAGGACCGCCCGAGCTACCGTAATCTGGCCCTAATACTTGGGATCCGGAGTAACCGCCCATTCCACTTGATCCACCGGGTCCGCTACTGGTGCTCCCACGCCTTTCTGTTTGGTAATGCCCAGGGGAGCGCCCTCTTACAATCATCTTTGCAGATTTCCGAGATGCGATCTTCATGAACTGATCCTGGGCTTGATTTCCCACATCTGCGTATAGCTCCACAACCAAATGGTAGTACTGCTGAGCCGCTCTTCGTTTACCATTGTTTGCCGTCGCCTGCTTGAATTGGATCCTTTCGAACGTGTGCTCGCTTGGGTAGGACCCCTGCGTACTCTGCCCATAACCACTTTCGTACAAGGGTCTCGAACTTCCGGGCATAGCGTGATGGTCTTGATATAGTAATGGGTGCGGTGTTTGCTGTGGCTGCTTCGGTGTAAGCCTAACTTTCTCCGGTTTCTGTACCGGTCCTTTATCTCTCTTTGGTGTATGCTGCACCAAATCAATTGTGTGCGAGTCACTGTCGGAAACCACGGCAGAAATGCACATCGCAAACCCAAATACTTGATAAGATGTTGACGATCCGCTAGGAACATACTGCATCGTCGTATTGGGCGAATACGGCGACAAACCGTATGAGCAGATGCAGGAGAAGTAATTCCTCCTGTAACACGTCCAATCTCCCTCTGACATGAAGAAACCTTTGTCGATAGTTCCGTGGATGTCAATCTTTATGGGCGCCCCGGAATCGCTGTACACTAGCTGGCCGTTTGTGCTCATTGCTAGAAGCGGAGGGATATGCGACCCCCCGGATTTTCCATACTGACTGGTGTCCATTCTGACAGGGCTTGTAAAGCTAATGCTGGGACTAGGAGTTGGAGATAGGGGATGGCGTCGCAAAGGCGCTGCAAAAGAAGGCGACCTCGTGTGCTCCGTTGGTCTTCCAAAGGATGGCCTCGATCCAGAGTAGAGATCTCTTACGTTGTACGCTGATGCTGGATTTGGTAACGCAGCGGAGCGGTTGGCATGTGCCATGCCCGTGGATGAGGTGCTACTGCTAAGGCAGTGAGTAAGGCAACATCTGGATGAGTTCCAAACGGGTGTGTTATTGAACACTATGAAGGGACTGTGATCAATGTGCAACTTACTTGGAGCTCAGGCGCGGTGGCCTGACGTCGATCCCGGGGAAGATCTGTGAGGCTGGAGAATAGAATGATCCTGTATCAGGGGAGTACCCCGTCGTAGTAGTGTTTAGGAGAGGTGCAGAAAAACCGCTGAGCACAGAAGGCGGCTGAGGAGGGTTTTCTATCGTCAAGGAAGAGATATTGGAATCTTGGTTGTATCTAGAGAAAGTATTAGCAGGGGTCCTAGCAAATAGAAGTTGGTGTGCGAGGCTCTGGGCAGGCTAGCGAAAATGCCTGTATCGCAATTCCATGCGAGACAATGCCCAAGTGTTCAGTGCGACCAAGAGATGTGGTACTGCCAACGTTGCGTAGCACAGGGGTAGCGGATACGGGAGCTATACACCACGCCACATAGCGGCGAACAGCGGAAGAGTCACAGGCATTTTGTGTAGCTACAACAGCCACCCATGCAACTCGTCTCCGCGCCTATAGTAAGAGGGATTTACAGGCAGTAGCAGTTAGGTGCAGATTGTAAGGTAGGTAGATCATATGGGTGTGCTAGTAGAACCAGAGAGCAACCCAGCCGGCACACCTCCATAAGTGCCCGAGTATTGCTGTTGAGATAAGGTGCGAAGATGGAGATGACAATGTGATATGATGCGATCTAAGACAATCAAAGTGAAATAAGGTTGAAATAACATAAAGGTAACAAAGACGATAGAAGTGCAGATATGATCAAGAATATTCTCTTTTTCTTCCTTTTTTTTCTTTCTTTTTTCTTTTTTTTTTTCGTTTCTTAGCGGGAAGGGGAAACATGAAACTAACCTCATATCACCTGTAGCTGGTATGTCTAGATATTCCAGCCCAGGACACGAAGGCGGCGAAGACTCAAAGTCCTGCTAGAAGGGTAAAAATAGTCAGTGACAAAGGAGGGTAATGATGGTAAAGATAATTGGCATAGAGGTGACAGGTCTAATTAATAGAGGAGGCCCATTGGAGGTGAGCTGCAGTCATTACCGGGCTTTGGCATTGCCGGCAGGGAAATTGAGGGCTCGAGGGTTTGTGAGTAGGCCCTGTAGAAAGCGGCAACAAATGTTAGTACACGAGATTGAAAGATTGTCCCTGTATTGGATGTGCTAATACAAAATCATAAAAAGCACGGTTGGCACCGGGGAAGACTGGCGAGTTGTTGACGAGTATGTAAGTACTTTTTGTATATGTATGATGGCTTGTCGGGTATGTGGGCGAGTGGACAAGTATTTAGGAGTTGGTCATGTATGGTTATGTATGTATGTATGGTTATGAGGTAGGCAAGTAGATCAAATGGGGGATGTATGATGTATGTAGATATGTAGATGGGTATGCCGGCCAAGATGTAGGCTAAGTCAAAGTAACTATGTAGGCTAGTAGGCTGGCAGCGGATATGGGAACACGAGAAAGAGAGAAAGAAAGCGAGACTAGTAGGAGGTAAGTAGAGTGACTGCTTCAGTGAATGTGCAAGAATAGCACGGTGTTTGCTCCGGCTGCTTCCAGTTCAGTGACATATACCTTGTCATTCCGTGCGTGGCACTGTGACACCGCGGGCATGGTGCAAGATACGTGGTTTAGTGAGCTGACTGCCCCGGTAGGTAAGGTAGGAGGTACCTTAGGATTGATGTACCTAAGGGCAAGCACCCTCGCAAGGATAATGGCAGTCGAGGTTCCAGAAGCAGCCTTCAGGTACAAAAGTATATGTACCTGGAAGGTAGGGTAGGTAAAGGTAGAGAATTCCCTCGAGATGTACCACGCTAAAAGACCCGGGGGGCGTTTTTTTTTTCTTGTGCGACATAAAGGAAACCGGGGATTGCTGATTCATATTTTCATCTAATGCGACAGGCCTTTTCTTGCCTACAATAACGCAAAGCTTTTTTCGAGAACACCGGTCTGGCAAACCGCCGGAAGACGGTTTAAAAGCTTACGAGGCGCACGTCCTCCCCGGTTTCCGATTTGCATTATCATCTCTTTCTTGATTTTGATTGTGATTTTGATTTTGACTTTGACTTTGATTTTTTCCGATCCTTATTTGGTATATCGTGTGGGGGGAAACTAGAAGATGTGGCAGGAAGATGAGATGGGAATTGCCATATGCGGCTGCGAATAACATGTAAGGTAATGTATGTATGTATATACGAATTTGGTGAGGTGAATGTGTTTGTGTATATGCGCGTGTATATGTTTGTGTGCGCGAGCGCGTATGGTGGGTTCGTGCTTAGTGCGCATGCATACGAACATGACAATACGTATACTTGGAGTTGAGATGATTGAACTGACCTTGGTTGGCCCTTTGTTGACCCTGCTTGCTACTTTGATCTCAAAGCTTAAGCAAGTAGCAAGCAACAAGCATATTCGGAGCTGCCTTGGACATTCGTCTCCGATATCCTCAACATCGACAATGCATGACCCATTTAATCCAATTGGCTTCCCTTAATTAAAAGCGCCCTCCCACAGACCGGGCTCGGCGAATGCGGACTTTCTCGAACTATTTGTTGTTTTTGTTCTTCGGCGGAAGCTGATGTAAAAGGAGATGGGAAATAATCGGAGAATAAAAAAAAAAGACAAGAAGGTGCATAAGTGAATGAAGTGGAAATTTTAACAAGTTAATAAATTAATATGTATATAATAATAAATATGATGAATATGATGAATATGATAAATATGATAAATACCTTGGGATTAAGTTGTTGATTCATTCGAGGAGCCTCTCTGTTAGAAGAGAGGCGTGCTTCATTCGGCCGAAAAGTGGCTGATGATGCTAATAGAGCTGACGACGGAGGATTCGAAGACGGATCGTGGATTAGCTGTTCCAATAACGGTTGTTAGTTCCGTATTCTTTGCAGGGTTCCCAAAAAAAGAAATCCAAGACGACACCACACGCCGGCTTCACTTGAGACCAGGTACTTTATCCACTAATAAGGCTTGTCCCGTCACAACGTGCCGAAACTCTAACAATGTACCTGCAATACGGTACTTTAAGTAAATACACATAGGTAAAAGAGATATAACTAGATAAATGTCATATAGGTATACTACCCATTTTGAGTAGATGGGGAGATGGTGGCCACATGTTCGTAGGTTTTTTTCTTTTTTTTTTTTTTTTTTTTTTTTAAATCTTCTCTTCTTTTTCCCTTTTTCTTTTTATCTTATTTTTAGGATTTCTTTTTTTTCCCTTCTGCATTCTGCATTGTAAGTATACCTCTCATCGACTAACCACTTTCCGACCTCGATCGGTAGCAGATGTCATGGTAGATGGTAGTAGTAAAAGTATGTAATTGATGTAGGTATGTTAATCTTTAGAAATAGGGCAGGGATACAAAAAATGGACTTGCTGCGTTGCAGATATGAGAAGTCCAGGGGGCCAGGATGTACACCGACCTTTGAATAGTCCACTGTAACCATCAGTGCCAAGTAATTAACGCTTCCGCGAATACATGCACAGTCATGCAGCGAATAGTAAACCTAGACGATCCAAAATTCTGTCAGCTTCTAACCCTCGAGAAAAGAAAATAATAAGAACAACCGGGCTAGGGGAAGGTAGGAAAGGGAAGCAAAATGGATTGACAGTGCGGGTTAGCCAAGACATAACAGTTCCTAGCATCTTCTCGTAGAGCCAATAATGTAAGATAGAAACTGAGCCGCGCCGGCTTGAGTTGGATTTAGTTATGCCGAATCAATGTCGGATCGAGTACCTTGATACCTCCTAGGTAGATAAATAGGTAGATAGGTATTAAATTCGTAGATAGGCAGGTCTGATTAAATCAGCCTGAAGGTTAGGTATCTTTGACGTCGACTAGAGCGTCATCGTTTTAGTTTCTGACCCGTATCTATCTTGTATCATGCGTCGCTGTGTATATGTCCTAGCTCCACGATCTGCCTAACCCAGTAGCCCAGTGCGGTTTTTCATCGAGATTTCGCGCGTGGCGCCTGCACAATATCCCGAGTAGAAAAGAACTAAGTACCTACTCTCCCTATCGGAAAGGGGCCCTAAATATGCGAATATCTTTATGTCTTAAGCAAATCGAAGGGAGGCCCTGAGAATATGTGTCAGTACTGCTTCTTTGCTGCAGAATTCCAGCGCGATCTGTGATTGATTAACATGGTGGAGGCTAAATGCACACCAACTTGCCTACCGCCAACTTGGGTCGATGGCGCCATGCGTATCAATTTGCAACAGGGCATGGGATGGTACTCAAATGAAACCATACGGGCGCCATTCGATCATCCCAAGGGGGCGCCTCGTGATAATCAGCCTCCAAAAACGTTCAGTAACCTGGCGTACCTTTTTCTCTTATCCGCACCAAGCCTCACGCTATCAAATAATCAGCTCCCGTACCGCCGCCTGCCGGGTATGGGGTCCGCGTAGCCGGTTCGTGGATCCAGAAAATATGATAGGCCCTGACCTAAGTTGTTCCTCGAATCAATGTAAGGGAGGTTGTTTAATCTATGTGAGTATTCTGAGCAGGTGACAAGTGCAGGTTGACAACACAAGAGCTGCGAAGTCCGAGACGGAAGGGAATCTATATACCCTCACGGGAAATGTATTTAAAGCTTAACGTGGTGGCTTCGACTCGTACGGTGGCATATGCCGCGCAGATCTATTAAGGCTTGTAAGAAGAGACAAAAGGGCAGTGCCACGAAATGGTGCATATGGATGAAGCCAACTTCTTCAGACTCGCA